CATGGTTTGGTCGCTCCTGTAAAATAGCATCATGCTATAAGCAGGAGTGCTACCAAGCCTGGGCTGATGCATCAGCGTCCCGGGATGTAAACACCAGCGCTCTAAAAAAGAAGTATAATTCCGCCTCTAGGTCCTTCAAAAGAGTCATTGCCAAGGCAAAGTCAGAGCACATAAGCAGAATTGGCGAGAAACTAGTTCGCCTTCCTTCTGGAACCCGTGCATTCTGGTCTCTCGCCAAGGCTGTCCAGGGGAATTTCTGTCAGCCATCTCTTCCATCTCTGCACAGGGAGGACGACTCACTGGCCCATACCGCGAAGGAGAAAGCCGATCTTCTAGGCTCTTTCTTTGCGTCTAACTCGACTCTCGATGACGGGGGGAGTACTCCGCCGACCATCCCGCGGTGTGAGTGCTCCATGCCGGAAGTGCACTTCACACAGCGCTCGGTTCGCAAAGCACTCCTCTCCGTGGACATCCACAAGTGGAGTGGGCCTGACGGAATCCCCCAATTGTGCTGAGGACGTGTGCTCCAGAGTTGGCACCGGTTTTAACGCTTCTTTTTCCGGTACTCCTACTCCCTAGGCGTAGTCCCAAAATCATGGAAGACGGCTTACGTCCACCCGATCCCTAAAAAAGGCGACCGCTCTGACCCGTCCAACTACCGGCCAATCGCCATCACCTCCGTGTTCTCCAAAACAATGGAGTCCATTGTAAACTGCCAGCTCATGAGGTACCTTGAAGATCACCAGCTGATAAGTGACCGCCAATACGGTTTTCGCCGTGGTCGGTCAGTTGGTGATCTTCTGGTCTACCTAACTCACAGATGGGCGGAGGCAGTAGAGTCCAAGGGGGGAGGCATTGGCCGTTAGTTTGGACATTGTGAAGGCCTTCGATCGGGTTTGGTACAAAGCGCTTCTTTCGAAGCTCCCTTCCTATGGGCTTCCCGAGAAATTGTGCGATTGGATCACCAGCTTTCTTGCAGATCGGAGCATCAAGGTCGTTGTAGACGGTGCAAGCTCCGATTGCAAGCCTATTAATGCTGGTGTTCCACAGGGCTGCGTGCTATCGCCAACGCTGTTTCTTCTGCATATCAGTGACATGTTGCATACCCGTAACATTCATTGCTATGCGGATGACAGCACTGGTGATGCTCTTTACACCGGCCGAGCCAATATTTCTCGGGAAAACGTCTCCGAGTGCCGGGACAAACTTGTGTCTGAAGTCGAGTCTCTGCTGGACAGAGTCTCGGGTTGGGGGCGATTAAATCTAGTCCAGTTTAACCCCCAGAAGACACAAGTTTGCGCGTTAACCGCTAAAAAGAACCCCTTTGTCGTATCCCCTCAGTTTCAAGGCACTCCCCTTGTTGCCTCAGCCAGTATCGGAATCCTCGGCGTCGACATATCGAGTGACGTGCAGTTTCGTGGTCACTTGGAAGGGAAGGCAAAATTGGCCTCTAAAAAGCTTGGCTTGCTCAGCAGAGCGGGACAGTATTTCATGCCGGCACACCGCCTGCAACTTTACAAGGCGCAGGTTCGGCCGCACATGGAATACTGTTCCCATCTCTGGGCTGGGGCTCCCCAGTACCAGCTCCTTCCACTTGACCGCATCCAGCGCAGAGCGGCTCGAATTTTCGACGACCGAGTGCTTTCCGATCGGCTCGATTCACTGGCGCTGCGAAGAGATGTTGCATCTCTTTGCGTATTTTATCGCATCTATCACGGGGAGTGCTCTGAAGAATTGTTCGGATTAATCCCAGCCGCCAAATTTCGTGAACGCACTACACGTCAAACGTCCCGATACCATCCACACCATCTGGATGCTTGGCGGTCCACCACTGTACGTTTCACAAGGAGTTTTCTTCCACGTACAACCTCTCTGTGGAATAGTTTACCACCGGCGATTTTTACGGACCGATACGACCTGGGGACCTACAAGAAAAGAGCTTACTCCTTTTTAAAGGGCCGGCAACGCACCCGCAATTCTCCTGGTGTTGCGGTTGATCATGGGCGGCGGTAGTCACTTAACATCAGGTGAGCCGCATGCTCGTTTGCCCCTTCTTCTATAAAAAAAAAAAAACTTTGAAAGCGTGTTTATGAGTGAAGAGTCGTCTGCATTAAATGAACTAGAAATTCCGAAAGAAGCGTAAAGGGGTATGGAGATAAGTGTAGATGAAATAATGAAAGCAATGAAAAGCATGAAAGCAGGTAAGGCAGCTGGATATGATAGAGTATCACTCGAGATGCTAAGAGCTGGAGAGGGAGTGGTGGCAGGCCTGCTGTACACCTTGTTTAATTTATGTTGGGAATTAAAACGGGTACCGGATGACTGGTGTAGTTATAGTACCAATATATAAAGGAAAAGGGTCACAGCAGGACTGCAAAAACTACCGTGGTATCAGCTTGCTTAGTATTGTGGGTAAACTGTATGCTAAGGTGTTAATTGAAAGAGTTATGAAAGAAACTGATGGAAAAATTTGGGATGTGCAAGCGTGTTTTAGAAAGGGAATGGGGTGTACAGATCAAGTCTTTTCCACGCGCATGATGGCGGAGAAGTTTTTGGCCAAAAACCAGAAAGTTTTTTGTGCGTTCATGGACTTGGAAAAGGCTTATGACAGAGTGGACAGGAATATGTTATGGCAAACACTGAACTCATATGGGTTGAGCGCTGGTTTGATACAGGCATTGAGGTCTCTTTATAGGGACTCTAGTGCTTGTGTCAGTATCAATGGGGTCTACTCGGACTGGTTTGGCATCCAAAAAGGTGTCAGACAGGGCTGTGTAGCTTCCCCTTGGCTGTTCAACCTATTTATGGACTTGTGTTTGCAAACTTTGAACGATGAAGAATGTGGGTTAAGAATGGGCGAGTTAACCGTCAAATGCCTTTTGTATGCCGATGATCAAATCTTATTTGCGTCATCGGCAGCTGAGTTGCAAATGATGGTTACATTAATGAACTGGGAATTAAAAGAAAGGGGAATGAAAGTTTGCACAAGTAAGACGAAAGTGATGGTTTTTGAAAGAGAAGAAAGCAAAACGGTATGTGAAATAAGAATAGAAGGAGAGTTAATTGAGCAAGTGGATGAGTTTGTGTATTTGGGATGTGTATTTAGCAGGGATGGTAGATATGATAGGGATATAGAACGACGAGTAAATGCAGGGAATAGAGTGAATGGGGCACTACACTCTATTATGAAGAACCAGAATGTGTCAAAAAAGGCACTTATGGTAATTCATAATGCTGTGTTAGTCCCTACTTTAATGTATGGTAGTGAAAGCTGGGTGTGGCAAAAGAAGCACGAAAGTAGAATAAATGCTGTAGAAATGCGGTCTTTAAGGAGTATGCTAGGGTTGAATCTGAATGACAGGGTGAGAAATTGCGTGATAAGAGATAAATGTGGTATGCAAGATGATGTTATGACCATGATTAAGAAAGGAATGCTTCGGTGGTTTGGTTATGTAGAAAGAATGAATGAGGAAAGAGTGACAATGCAAATTTATATGGCAGATGTGAACGGCCGAGTCGGGAAGGGACGCCCTAGAAAAAAGTTTATCGACCAAATTGGCGATATTTTGAAAAGGGGCCACGTTAGAAGTACCCTTAACCGACGAGCATGTATGCGTAGATATATGGATGTAAAGGAGGCGAAAGAGGTATGTCCGGATCGTGCCAAATGGAAGTCCGTACTCTCTGCCTACCACTCTGGGTGACAGGCGTGAGTGTTTATGTATTGTTTATGTGTAAAAAGAAATTACCTGAACTATCGGCGTCCTGAACCTTGTTCTCTGCCGCCCGATTAGCCTCGCTTCAGCTTTCGAACGGGAAAGCTGTGTCGCTTACGATCAGAATACACATAACGCAACAGGACGACGTAAAATTAAAATAGAAAATAACCGTAATAGTAATAAGAAGCGACTGGGTTGGCGTAAAGAAACAGGCATAAATATGATAAACCTAATGAAATAAGTATCTAACGACCTATCTACTTACACTATTAGTGATTACAAACATGTCGGTACATAGCATACGACGCGCGGGGAAGTGGGGGCGAAATTAGAATTTGAGCTGAGGTAGTATAGGCCCTTATAAAGGAGTAAATGTCAATAAGTTGGTACATTTTGTTTTGTGAGGCCAAAAATTAACAGTTTTGGTTCTATCACAAATCTGTTGGCTTCACTTTGGGTTTGAACCCATCCTATGAAGCATATAGCCACATAGTTTTTAAATACTAAATAATATCTGCAGTGTCGGCGACGGGAAACATTTAAAGCTATTCTGCAGCTCTTCTAAAGTCCGAAATGGTATTCACAGTACAATTAACTTACGAAAGTTATATATCATTCAACTTCAATGAATGTATTATCATTCCTAGTTAAACAATATAACTCTTCCAAATTGAAAAAGATATTTCCGCAATTATTACTTCTACGGTAGCAGCTAGTTTCTATTAAAAAATACTTCTTAAACAACCCAAACATAATGTCCACAAGTTTGTGAACCTAAGAAGCTTTCACTTTTGACGTGCAGGCCTACGACTGACAGTTTTTCTTTAACGATGAGAGATTCTCGGTCACTTAGGTACTGCTTACATAAAATCTTTAAATGTTGGTGGAAACGTCAAAAGTTTGAAGCAAATACACAGACAGATGTGGACATGAACGATTGTTTGTAGGCTGTAAAGAATACTTGTTCTGTGCGGAATTCGAACTCGCGACCTCAGCGCTGCAACTCATTGCTATGCAATTGCGCCACGGAGTCGTCTGCAAATTGATACATCGCACGCTTTTTTACATATACAAATTAAATGCAAAATTTATGCTTAATGGCGACTTGATAAAACCTGTGTCTTTTTAATAGCGATCAAGTGATAAGTGTTAATAATGAACGATTAAATTTTTCACTAAGAAATTAATTTCGGATCTCTTAGACTTGTAGACGGCGTACCGCAGTTAGTTCGGAAGTTTGGTTAAGGCAGGTCGCTCTGGGTGCATTTTAATTCTCTAGTCATGTCTCGGGAGGAGTATATCGGTCTGCGAGTTCACTTTGAAACACTTATCCATAGCCACGCTGAGCCCGGTGCCAGGCTGGTTAAGAAGAAGAACTTAAAACCTCGCAAACGTAAACACGACGTACTTTGGTGGGTCCAAGTCATAATAAGTAATTTCTTGTAGTTAATTATGGTAAACTATAATAAAGTTATCGTTTTTATTGGTCGTTAAAATTAAGATAAACGTGTTGTGGACGTTCCGGCTGGATGACAGTGCGCAGTGTGCAGTATCCTCTGCGTGAGTTTAGAACGCATATGCTGAAGCAGTTTCTGTATTGTGTGCTAAATCGTTGTGTTAGCTATTTGAGTTCAGTTCGCTAGTGAAGTTTTTTTTTCAGACAAGGCTTATTCGGATCGTTACAAAATGTATGGTCAATTTATATTCAAATTTAGTTTTTTTTTTTAAATATATTTTTTGTGTGGTGACGGTGATGATAATCCACTATCTCATATCACCCCGTGGTTGTCGTAAGAGGCGACAAAGGGAAGTGAATTAGCAGATGAGCGGCATGTTCCTGATCATTTTTAAATGTATACGTGGTAGAGCCACGCTGCAGCTACAGTACAGTAGCACGAATGGGCCGGCGCGATCGGGGGAGGTTCACGCCCTCACAGAACACCAGCGTAAAATAGCAGCTTAATGCTGCTGTGTTCGTATGGTGAGTGTGGAGATCCGGAGATCCTTTTTTACTTACTGGAAACGAGGCATTCCATCGTAGTACTCAGACGTGACAACGCAGCTACGTTTTGATTCTTAATCGAAGATAAATGTAGATGTCTATGGGCCACAGCATCCACTTATCATCAGGTAGACTGAGTGCTCGTTTGTCACCCTTTATCTATAAAAAAACTGCACATAATAAACTTTTATGGTTGTGGACCCCGCCTACCAAGCGTGGCAGAATGGTAAATCCTGGTTATGAGGCAATCTATAGGGGAGGCATATATTCATTAGTGTACTATAGGGATTGGATGGATATTTTTAAAGATGTTTTGCATATATGTATGTTACTTGAATTATTTAAAATGGAAGACTAAATAGAAAAGATTATAATATTTTTTAATAGTACTAGCTAGCCAGGCAGACGTTCTGCCCTTTCCGACGACCCTTTGTGCTATAAAAAATCCTTAAATTCGCAATAAAAATGTTCTGATGGGGGTAAAAATACTACCTCTCAAGTTGGACCAAATAAAATTTCATTGAAATCAGTTCAGTAGTTTTATCGCGGACAATGTGACACGTAATTTTTATATATAAAGATAGATTATAAATAATTCATCATCGTCTTCATCATCATTATAAGATATTTATTCATTTTTACCACTGGTTCGAAAAAACCTCTATCCTGGGAAGGACCAACACATTTTTCTAAGTAAAATGGACACAAAATGGGTGTCGTAGTAAGTATTAGTTTGAATTAATATTTAAAAATCTAATAATAATTTATAACTACCCGATCAACTGCACATTGAATGAAACTATTTTTTACAGATTTTATCGCGTCGGTTAACTTATGTTTTTGTATTCCCGACGTTTCGAGTAGGTACCTACCTACTTTGCCGCACACATGCATATGGTCAATCTTTATTAATGTTTGGTCCAATCTATGAAGAATGAACTTACAGTGTCTTCAAGTTTTGAAATTGTCTACTTTGTCTGGGGTTTGATTTTATTAATTCGCTTTGTAATATCGCTATGTAAGACTATTGAATTATTTTTGATTATTCAGCAGTAGTTAATTTTTCTTGGCTATCAATCTTTTACTAATTACATCATAGAGTGGGGTGAAGAGTTCACTACGTTTGCCAAGCATAAAAAAAATAAACTCATAAATTGGCATTTGATATTTTGCATAGATGGCATGTCAGACATATATGTGACGTGACGACACAGTAGAGGGAGGATTACGGATGACATGGTTATTTAGTAGGTTGTTACTTTATTAATATTAATATTTTAGTAAAGCTCTTTTCCTGGCTAGGGGTAGGTCTGGATAGGTACTACTCTCTAAGCGGTTTTTGTCGCTAAACAGCAATTAATTTATTGCTGTGTTCCGGTTTACAGAGCAATTGAGGATAAATGAGGTTATGACGTACCACCTTGCCTCTTACAAGTCTGAAGATTTTATGTGTTGTTAACTTCATATATTCTGTTTTCGACTGGTTCTTTAGAATTCCAAATCAGGCCAAAACCAGTTAATGGGCTTCTCTGTAAAGAACTTATCAATATCAACTCTCGTATACCGAGTAAAGTAAAGCCGTTATTCCTACGCCTGATCTCTCTACGGTCAAATCGGATTGACGACTCATCGGTCTATGAAAGTTAGGGAATAGAGTGTGAATAGACCTGTGCTTGCACACACACTAGTGCACTTTAATCCTGTCCTGCGCAGATAGCATCCGTTAGGATGGTGGAGGCTGGTCTTATCGAAATCGACCTGGATGCATTAGATATAATTTATTCCATAATTTTATACATGTTCTTTACATTTCTGTTTGTCTAATATTTCTGTCATCATGTCATCAAAGCAATGTAATCATGAGCTTTAAGTGTGCGTACGTGTCATATATATCCAGACAACACTCCGGATCATTTCAACGGCTCCATGGCACTGTGGCTTATGTTTGATTTTCGGTGCCTGGGGCCGCAAGTTCAAATCCAGCACGGAACAAGTATTTGTATGGCCTACAAATAACAATTCTTAAACTGCCTCCACAATGAATAACAAACCCTAGTGTTGGTGGTAGGTTTTTAAAAAAAAATTTTTTTTAAAAACCTACCACCCAATTTATAAAATATAAATACATAAAACCCAATTACCCACGAAGCTGGTTTTCGGTGCGCCCATATTCCTTTCGTATTCACATTCTAATAAATTGAATTTCCCTAATATTACTATAAAATTACAAAGCGGCAATACACTTCCGCATTCCTCAAGCATATTAAAATGCCATCGAATATGTAAAATAGTACGATACCTGTTTACCATACCATGCCATAGTTTGTTTTGTATAAACAACAGCAACAACAACAAACAACACAAGTTTTGCGCGCATTAGATACCTGCCGAAAACCACATGTGTAGTTTACACCCGTGACGGAGCTGACGTAGGTTGACTTAAAGTAAAAGTTCCCTATACGTACCACAGCTGGGCGCAGGCCACTTCCTATTTTAGTGATTTATCGTGGTTTATGACGATGAATCAAATACAAAATACAGAACGTTTAGACGAGGTAGGTTATTTACGTTGCAGTGTATTATAGCAGCACGATTGTCGGCTCAATCGGGGAAGGACCACGCCTTCACAAAATACCAGCGTGAAATGAACACACCAACACGTTATAGGGATATTTTTAATAGAGACGGGCCTACTTCCATTTCTGTGGCAGAGAAGAGAATCGCCGTCCTATTCTATTGTGTGTTTAGGGACCTTATATTATCGATGTACCTCAAATTATTTGTAACAGAAGAAACAGACCCCAGACATGTTGTTTTGGATGAGAATCTAAGTTAGCATATCTTCAGTTATACGATTAAATTAGATATACGAATACGTCGTGGATATTTTCTACTCTGATTCTTGATATTTTTGTTTCTGATACATATTTTCTACATAAAAATGTCCGGTATATTCTACTTGTATCACAATTTTCATAATATGTAATACTACTTGAAAACATACATAAAATATTCATAATTAATTATCATTTTATTAAATTAATATCAAATAAATATTTAAAAAAAATATGTTACATATTATATGTACTAATTAGGCAAATTAAACGATTTAATGAATCTTTCGGTTAACTGTTTTAGTATAAAACATTTATACTATTAATAATTTCTAATGCATTTTGACAATAATAATTTACAAGTTTTTTTTTAAATATTTTAATATTTTGAGATAATTTTTCTATAATATCCATGGATTTATCTTATGTTTTATTCTATTTTATAATATTTATTAGGGTGGTTAAGCAAGTAAGTACCACACCAGGAACCAGTAGTAAACCATTTCAATCTTCAAACCTAAATATTTTTTTATAGTATATGAATGACAAACGAGCAAATAGTCTATCTGATGGTAAGTGGATGCTGTGGCCCGTAAACATCTAAATCTATCCTAGATTAGGAATCAAAATGCAGATGCGTTGCTACTCCTGAGGATTAAGATGTAATGAATCGTTTCCAGTAAGAAGCGTCTCCGGTTCTCTACATACATACGAAACACAACAGCATTTAACTACTATTTTACGCTGGTATTATGTGAGAGCGTGGTCCATCCACGGTCGAGCCGACCCGTTCTTTCTACAACCATACAAATATAGCTCTGCAGCATGGCTCTTGCACGTATAAAATTATTAAACTTCTTTTGAATCTCCCATAATTTTTTTACGTTTGGTGTACTTCTACCATTCATGTAATCGTAACTATAAGCGACATATACGTCATATATATCAGTAAAAAAAAAACATAATCCGAAACGACAATCGTTCACTTCGTTCCGGGCAGTTTACTAAGCGCGCGTATGACGGTAATTTATTTTAACTTTTTTAAATCTTTGTTTATATCAATCATTGTGACCTGTTTGCGAGTTATAATATTAATGTAACAATAATATTACGTATTATATTATCAAAAAATTATGCAAATAAACTTGCTGCAGAAAATCAGCAACAAGAACTAGTTTCCGTTCCTTTGTCAGGGGAATTAGAGCAAGAACCTCCGAACCAAAATTTGACATCCGAATTGACTACGCTTACAACAATATTGGATACTACTTCAACACAGAATAGAGATGAGAATATTACTTCTATTGATGTAAACATTAATATAGTGGTGCCTAATAAAAATGACCTTGAATTTTCGTCCGATGATTCAGTCACTGATCCTTCATTTGTCGCCCTCTCAGACATAACAAATTTAAAGCCACTATCACCAGCAAATACGGAGTGGTTTCCCGAAAGGGAAATAGAAAATACGGCGAAGAAAAATGGAAGAAAGCGGAAAGGGAATCCTAATAACTGGAAAAGAATAATAAATAAGCGGCACAGGGTGATGGGCGAGGAATACATTGGATTTAAAAAAGATGGCACTAAATTCGTTCAAAATGATCCTAAACCCGCCAGAATAATGGGTCCAATATGTACATATGTCGAAGAGATGTTTCAGTGGTAAAGCTATGTATTGCCCAAAGCTAACAGAAGAAGTGCGGGCAGAAATTTTTAAAACCTATTGGGAAATGAGTTGGCATGAAAAGAAAATGTATATAGCTTCAATGGTGGATAAGACACCTACAACTAGAAAAACTAAGAACTCAAATTCAAGGCGCAGTGACACCAAAGTTTACTATTTAAAAGTAAACGATAAAAAGGAAAGAGTTTGCTTAAAAACATTTTTGGAAACATTGGGCATAAAAGAATGGACAATTCGATATTGGCTAGGAGAGAAGACGACTATCGACAATGAATCTGAACCAAGTGCTGTAGTAGCCACAGAAACAAAAAAAGAATCAGCCAGAAAATACTTGATGGCGCTACCGAAACTACCGTCTCATTACTGTAGACAATCTACTTCAAAGCTATATTTAGAACCCATCATACAAACAAAATCACAATTGTATCGTCTATATGTAGACTACTCAGTTTCGCGAAATGAACCTGTGGCCTCTAGGAAGGTATTTGAAGGGGTTTTATTCGAAGAGAACATCAGTCTATTTCAATCAAAGAAAGACGCATGCGACCAGTGCTGCGCTCACAAAGCAGGTAACATGTCAGATGAGCAGTATATAAAACATATTGAGCTAAAAGACTTAGCTAGAATTGAAAAAACCCTTGACAAAGAAGCAGCACGGAAAGGGACGATACATGCATTAACAGCAGATCTTCAAGCAGTCAAATTGTGTCCTTCACTCAACGCCAGTGCACTATATTTTAAGACAAAACTTGCCGTCCACAACTTTACAATTTACAACCTGGGAACTAATGGAGTCGCGTGTTACTGGTTCGACGAGACGGCATGCGACTTAAAAGCTACTACATACGCATCATTTCTTGTAGATTATTTAACTAAATTACTGGAAAATGATCCAAAGGATGTAGTATTGTTCACAGATGGCTGCACAGCCCAGAATAGGAATAATATTGTGTCGAATGCGTTGTTGCGTTTGGCCATGGCCAAGAACATAGTTATAACTCAAAAATACTTGGAAAAGGGCCACACTCAGATGGAAGTCGATTCGGTGCACTCGGTGATCGAAAGAAAATTGAAAAATCGAGAAATATTTCTACCCTCACAATACGCAACAATCACGAAGGAGGCCAGAAAAGTGCCGAGTCCTTACCAGGTTATTACTCCTGATCATACATTTTTTAAAAACTTTGCTCATAAAGATCACCTCATTTATGATTCAATAAGACCTGGTCGTGGGGCGGGTGATCGTGTCGTCATGGACATAAGGGCCCTAAGATACAGTCCTAGTGGGACAATTGATTTTAAACTCCACTTTGTAGACGATTTTGTTCCTTTACCTAGGAGACCAAAAAATATATTATCTGACTCTTTAATTGCGTAGGTCCATTGTATGAATCCAGACAACCAATATCCAAAACAAAGTATGATCACCTACAGGAATTGAAGAGTGTCATACCTAAAGACTGTCATAGTTTTTATGATAATTTACCTTTTAAATAATATTCCTAATAACCAAGATCTTAAATGCTGTGATTATTAATCGTTTTAATGAGAATTTAAGAACTAAGATAATAGAAATACTTCTACGTCTAAGATAATAAGAATATAAGAGCATCCAGGTGTAATGATTGCCATATTTAATTGTTAAAGCTTTTAATAAAAAAAAATCGTATTCGTCCAAGAAACTAATTAACAAAGATTGAAATGCTGGGATTTTAGAAGATCGAGGAGGCTGATTAGTTTATTATTCTTAATTAAGTGAACGTAATTGTTTTATTGTAATTAGAGAAATTCAGGGATTGTGTGATTAAATTGATATCTAGAGTAAGAGTTATTGTTTTTTTTTCTAAGAAGATGTATAATTTTGTATGTTTTTATCTACTATAATATATCATAATAAATTCAAATTAATAATATAATATGTATTTTATTTTAAGCCCGCGTATCTCCTAAAAGTATAGTATTTAAATGTAATTTGCTGGTACAAAACCGCGTAAGTGACTTTACACGAAATCTAAACAAGTTTCTAGTACATTTACGTTAAATTTCTATAAAATAAGTAACAAAGAAGCTGCTATAAAGTTCAGTCGGTAATATAATTATAAATTACCAAGTTATTAAGTTTTTTCTTCTTCCTGTAAAATTCTAAAAATGTAGATACGCGGTATTTACAAACTGCTCTTCCGCGGTTTTGCACGCGCAACGACGATATCCAAATGCGCGTGAATGTTAGAGAAAAGTTCCGAAAGTATAACATTCCTCACAAAACCGTTATAAATAATATGAAACTCTAAAACATTATGAGCCTTGTAGCATTTAAGGATTACATGCAACTTATAGACTGATTTAAAGCTGTGATGATTATTGATTACAAAACTTAATTAAGTTCATTAGTATTAACAAGAAAATTATACATCATTAAAAGCCTTCTTTTTGTTTACTGGTCCACTATTGGCATTTGGCACAATGTCTGGTCTATAACTGGTACAATCTGGTCCACCTTAGGCACACTGCGACTTGCCACATTCATTTTTAAACAAAAGAATAATCTTAGTAGCCATTAAGAAAATCGAAATAAGCTAGCTACATCATTATATGATAGAGTACGATGACTTTTTTTGGCAATGATTGTTGCAATAATGTAGTCACTTTGTTTCATAATGTCACTTAATGATGGCTAATATTGTTTCACTCGTGTCGCTACTTGACAATGAGGTAAAATTTTTTGTTACGCAATGTCATTTAATTGAAAAAGTAAGTTTTAAATACAAGTTTATCAGTTTCTAGAGTATTAAATTAATACAAAAACACTAACTCAGTGGTTTGCTCTTTAATTTTTTGCACATTTAATCTCTTTTTTAATTTTTTACTTCTGTGAATATCTGTGGTTTTTTATTTATTTATTTCAAAATATTTCTTTTTATTTTTTTAAATATCAGTGCCTTCTACTCCGTTCACATGTTACGCCCTATTTTTTTCCAGGCGGTAAAAAAGTCGTCCAGTATACTGGCTTTCTATACCGTTTAGTCTGGATCACAGCAGTGCCATTTGGCGGCAGAAGTAGATAAGAGGGTGGTACCTACTCTGACGGACTCCTGAACTCATACCACCACTTTTTCGTTGATTGGGGAGATGTCATATATTTTAAAATTCCATACGGTCATTAAACAATTGTTTTTTTTTATACAATAAGGGTGACGAGCGAGCACACAGTCCACCTGATAGTAAGTAATTGCTGGGCCCTATAGAAATCTACATTAACCCTCGATTAAGAATCAAAATGCAGATGCGTTGTCACTCGTGAGTACTGAGATGGAATGCCTCGTTTCAAGTTAAAAGGTTGGGTAATTTTATACTATCGCGGTCACCTCGTTTTTTGGCTCTAGAAAATCGAAAAATCATCCGAATTTGATGATTTTTTAAAATCTTTATTATTACTACATATTATGAAAAAAATTATAGGAATAAAAAAGGATGTAAATTTATATTGATTTCAAGGCTTTAAATGTTCATGAAAATGCACTCATTCACGTATAATTGTTGATAACTTTTTTAAAAATAATCGAATGAAGTTGTTATATTTTTTTCATAATCTACCTAAAAAAATAACCACGAAAGAGAAGGTGGGATCTATTCGCTCGCTTTATTCGACCCCGCCATCTCCATCTAACCTAACCTGTCCGAGTGGAAGCCCTAAGGGTAAAAACTAAAATAAAAATATAATAAACAAACATTTTTCAATGATTTTTTTTTGTTTTTTTTTTGTGTAGATTAACAATAAAAATATACAAACTTCGTTTAACGCTTTGCAAAAAAGTTATGAACGATTATATTCGAAAAAGTGCGTTTATGATCACATTTAAAATCATAAAACTATATGAAATCTTGTGGTGATATTTTCCACATTTTTTTTTCCATAAATCCGCCGTAAAAACGAAGATTTAAAAAAATCATCGAAATCCGACGATTTTTCGATTTTCTAGAGCCAAAAAACGAGGTGACCGCAATAGTATAAAATTACCAAAGGTTGATTAGCTTGTTGTTGGAGATATTTAAATTATTTATTTTTTCAGGAGTTACGACAAAAGCAGAATGGTGTCAGTCGCCATGAAGACCGGCCTTCTCATGGGCTTCGGAGCCGTGTTTGTTGTGGTCGGAGCCATCATGGTGGTATACTGGCCGACGATATTCTTAACACAATTACAGAGGGTAAGCAATCGAACATAAATAATCCGCCTTATTATAAAACGTGGTTTATTGGTAGTAACACACGCCTGTCACCTAAAGGGATAGGCAGAGACGGACTTTCATTTGGCAAGATCCTGACATACCAATCTCACCTCCTTTACGTCCATATTCCTACGCATAAATGCTTGTCGATTAATGGTACTCCTAATCTGGTCCATCTTCAATATATCTTCAATGTGGTAGATAAAGTTTTGTCTAGGGCGTCCCTCGCCGACTCTGCCGTTCACTCATACAACATAAATATGCTTTGTCCAAATCACTGAAACATTCCTTTCTTAATCCTAGTCACAACATCATCTTGCAATAGTTGGTTTTTGAAGTTATTTGAAGGTGGATGATTTTAATTTTGCATCTTTGTAAAGCTAAGCTTGTATGTTAATTTTGCCTAACCTGAGACCGGAGTTTTTGAGTAAGATTGAGAGGTTCTATAGGCAGCTGTACACATCATCGTTGGAGTTGGTTACGATCAAAAGCAAGTCTTTCCGACACTATTCCGATGATATCCCGGACGTCAGTGTGAGCGAGATTAGAATGGCTCTCCAGCACCTTAAAAACGGCAAGTCCCCGGGTGAGGATGGAATTACAGCGGAGCTTCTGAAAGCGGGGGGAAAACCGGTACATGAAGTCTTTCAGAGGCTCTTTAATTCCGTCCTCCATGGTGGCACTACTCCGGAGGCGTGGAGAAGAAGTGCGGTGGTCTTGTTCTTCAAGAAAGGTGACAACTCCCTCTTGAAGAACTACAGGCCGATATCCCTTCTCAGCCGTGTCTACGTGCTGTTTTCGAGAGTCTTTACGAATCGTCTCGCACGCAGACTCGACGACTTCCAGCTTTCCGAACAAGCCGCTTTCCGAAAAGGCTTTAGTACCATAGACCACATACATACCCTGCGGCAGATTGTACAGAAGACCGAAGAGTACAATCTGCCACTTTGCCTGGCATATGTAGACTATGAGAAAGCCTTTGATTCCGTCGAAATTTTGGCGGTGCTACAGTCTCTTCAGCGATGCCAAGTTGACAATCGGTATATCGAAGTGCTGAAGTGTTTGTACCGTAGGGCTACGATGGCTATCTGAGTACAGAACCGGAGTACGAAACCTATCCAACTGCAGAGAGGTGTAAGACAGGGTGACGTTATTTCCCCGAAACTCTTCACCGCTGCATTGGAAGACGTTTTCAAGCTACTGAACTGGGAAGGATACGGTATTAACATCAATGGCGAGTATATCACTTAACTTCGATTTGCCGACGATATAGTTCTTATGGCAGAATCGCTGAAGGACCTAAGCGTTATGTTCAATGACATCAATTGTGCCTACCAACGGATAGGTCTTAAGATGAACATGGACAAAATAAAGATCATGTTTAATGTCCATGTCACACCTATGCCGGTAGTTGTTGGGAGCACTGAGCTCGAAGTTGTTAACGAAAACGTTTACCTGGGACAAATACTACGACTAGGTAAGTCCAATTTCGACTGAGAGGTTAATCGACGGACTCAACTCAGCTGGGCAGCGTTCGGGAAATTACGTTACATCTTCTCGTCAGGTATATCTCAAAACCTGAAAACCAAATTGTACAACCAGTGCGTGTACTGTACGAACTGAGGATGCACCATTTTCTAATAACCGCTCGTTCGTCGATACGGACATAGCGGGCGCGTATGTCCTCGACAGGAGGGGGTCGCGGGGGCTTCTTTCAAGATGCGCATTCCCACCGGCGTCTCGTCGTCGTTTCTGCTCTTCTGGCTTCTTGTTTTACGCATTCTGTATCGCGTTGCGGCTTCCAATCGTCTTTGAAAGACACATGTATGGGTTGCAGTTCTCGCCACAAGTGGCGTTACCAGTCAGTACTGTTTGGCACCGTTAGGTGGTAATCAACTGACCGCGTAAACGCGGTAAGAAACAAGAATATGATGATCTGTAGTGATGTATGAACAGGAGTCTTCAATATCCACAATTACCATAGTTGGGCTGTTGAATACCCACACAAGGCAAGGCCTTGTGTAGGTATTCAACAGCCAAAAACAACAATTGCCTGCTAGGTTAAGCGGAGCCCAATATTTAGACTTTTTACAAAACAATTTAAACGGTTTATTAGGCGATGTAAACTTATTGACAAGAAGGGATATGAATTACCAAAATGATGGTGCTCTTTGCCACTATGCAAGAGAGGTACGGGAGCACCTTAATCAAAGATTCCCCAATAGATGGATTGGGCGTGGCGGACCGATTCATTGGCCTGCACGTTCACCAGATTTGAACCCCATAGATTTCTTTCTCTGGGGATATTAGAAAGAGATGGTGTACGCAAGCGAAACAAACACCGAAGCAGAACTGCGAGATAAATTAACGGAGGCGGAAACAAAAATCAGACAAAATTCAAATGCTTTTAGAAGACTGAAACAAAATTTTCTAAGGCGTTGTAGACTGTGTATTGAAGTGGAGGGGGGGGGTACTTTGAGAATTGGTTGTAAAATAAAATAAGTATTAAAAAACCAAATTGTTTTATTTATTATGAAAGATTATGACATACCATGAAAATCTAATTATCCTTAGTAATAAACAATAGGTGCATAATAAAACGATTATTTTTGAACTTTTTGGCTCTGTGCAATTAAAGGCCGACTAGGGCTAAAAAAGGCCCATTGACCACCACTTTTTTTGTATTATAACTAAAGCTTAGGGTCTTGCGAAGTTTTTAAAATTACTTTAAAGTCATGGAACTCATTATTTAATTTTTAGTTTAAATTTCAAAATTAAACTTTGATTCAATCATATCTGCATAATTTGTTTTCGATTAAAATTTTTGCAATTTGTATTAATGGTAGGCAGCTTATTTTTTATGTCAAAGAGTCCAACTCATGAAGACTACGCTAAGAATAAAAAAAGTAGAAAAGAGAGCAGAATTTTCAAGAAAAAAAATTTTTGAATCGCTAAGTCGACATTTTTCAAAATAATACAAAAAAAAAATCATATCTCGTAAACTAAAAAAAAATCGCGGAACATACATGGGGTATTTTCATGTAGCCCGAAAGGTCAGCATTCCAAAAATTTTTTTTGGACGTCACCTTTTGGACCATCCTGTATAACAGACTATTAGTAGTAACTATGATTGATATGAGATATACCTTTTCTCTTGACCGACGATCTTCTATAATTATCTTCTACTATGATCTTATTTTATTTTATTTTTATTTTATTTTATTTAAGACCAACAGCTATCATAATTAGGATAGATAGTATTAATAACAACAGTAAGCCAATTAAAGATCCTCACTAATAGATCCAAAGGTGAATTTACAACAGTGATAAATACGATTTAACACTCGAAAGTATCCAATACAACATATTTATACCAAATGAGAGCTAAACTTGTATAATACCTATAAAGGACAATCAACTCATACTTAGGACAGTCAATAACACTACAAGCTATTTTAAGAGAAAAATAAACACAAATACAAAAGTAAATCATAGTTGTGTAGCAACGCATCAATATCTCACTTAGAGCTACCAAAAAAAGCATTGTTAAGTATGCGCCTAGCTGACGCAGCACTAGTGTTAAACAAATCGAAGTTAAACTCATTGGCTAGCTTATTGAAATTATTGCTCGCTCGCCATATAAATGATGTTAATCCGACGGCGATGGACCAACGAATTGAAAGAGATGGGGAGAGGAGCCTTCCCCTCGCTCCCCCGTCACACCTGACATGTTATTGAATCATCTAGTACTGAGCGAATTGCCGGCACATGCTTATGTTTTGAATATTTTTGTAAGAAAAAAGGTATTTCATTGTGTTATTCTTAGTGAAAATTGATAAGTATATGATGAAAATGAGTGGCAGGAAACTATTTGGACCAATTTTAGAGAAACTGACGACTGTAATGTAATGTTTCTTTGTTTCCAAACAAAATTTTAGCAAGCTTTCTGTTTGCTATAATTGGAAATAAATCTACAGTGCCTCAAAAACATAACGCTATACAAGTAGATTTAACCCATAAATAAATATACTTTCAACAATAAAAATATGAAAGACATGGCATTACCATACAGTGGATAGGTACTTTGAGTACCACTTTCGGCCGAATATTCGGTAAACCTGTCGAATATAAAACGAATATTTGGCCCACCTGTAATATAGAGGTCATTTATTGAACTGAATTAACTGACTAACTTTGGACTGTATATTATGACAGTTCTATTAAAAGAATAATAAAAACAATTTATTTACTATTTACAATGATCGCAGCAGTGCAATATTAGCGAAATAAATGATTTGAATATTATTTACGCTAATTAAACTATATTACCAGAGAGATTATTTCTTTTTTCTTCTCATTTCTTGTCGGGAGCTCTTCTTTGCCGCGAATTTATCAGTTCGCCGGCCAGATGCTCGTCTTATATTCCCGCGGTTAATGTCACACAGCCGAGGAGCTCTAACACGTAGAATTGTTCAGAACTAGTGTAGTACTAGTTGCTAATATTAATAATCATATATAGAAATAAGCAAACCGGATTATAACCTAAGTGGTTTTCACATTTAAAACGTCATTGGCATTAATAAATTATGTTAACATGAACATGCATATGCAAAGTGAATTAGATAAGTATAATATTAATAACACTCAGTAAACTTTTGTAGGCTTAATCGCGCGAATTTTAAAATTCAAATCGTTGCTAATGAGTTTTTTATAAGTATACAATTTGCAATATGACGTTTATCGCTCTCTTTCGTATCTTAATGTACAGACATAATAGAAGTAAAAAACATTTATGTGCATTAAGGTGAATCTTTTGCGATATTTAAATATGGCATTTTAAAAAAATTAAGATAAAGAAAAGCTGCTGAGCTCCGTCAGCATTTTTTCACACGGCAAGTTTTCATATAATTATACAGGGTTATTTTTCAAGAGTAGTATAAATAATGAAAATAAGTCTTCTGTTTTTATTTGAAATTATCCCAAATTAAACGTCATTTATGGTCAACCACGTTTTTGCCTACTGATACGCCCTTACGAATGTGTGCGTGCGCAGTAATATCAGTTAAATAATGAATTACCACGCATTTTGAATTTAAAAGATAAAAAGGACAATGTTTGAGAGTTTTTTTAATTATTTTTTCTTTACCATTTGCTTATAATACTTATTCTGAAATTACTGAAAATTTGGCCAGTTATTTTAAAATAACCCTGTATATTTGTGTATATGTTTATATGTGTATGTGTGTATATTTTATGTACCAAGTGACTAATAAGGCATTTCATAATGCCCGGGCAGTATGAATGATGTTCAATATGAGTAGGCAATGTGATAAAGAACTATTGACATAATCAAATTGAACGGGCGTTATGAATAAAGTCCGTTACTTACTAGGCAAAGTAAAAAAAAGATAAGTTAGGTTAGGTTTTTTTTGATGTCACATATTTACCACTTAGACACAATGAAATAAAGTTTTTCATCATAGATTTTTTTGCCCTATTGCTGCTATTTCATACTGCAAAGTAGTTTTTCCCTTCCTTCTCATTTTTACATTCGTTAATTTTTAATTTGGTAAATTATTTACTTATTGTCTTAAAATTGATTAACATGGTTAGGTTAGGTTAATATGTAAAACGATAGGTATTGAGGTCCTCCGCCCTGCAGCCACCGATGATCCAGCCCTCAAGTTACACCGTGTATAGGCCGACAGAAAAGAAGGTACTATAAAATTGGAATAACAAACTTGCTCTCCATCCTATGATAAGTGGCCAGTGCAGCCAGCTTTGGCGAAGTACGACTTCCTTCTTCAATATATGTGGTCTTAGATTCAAATTTCGCTTTACGCTTGTCGTTGTCAACGGTAATTTTAACTGTTATATATTTTGCGCGATCGAAGGACCATATGTTAAGAATTTATCGGGACTTTTAGGAATAAAGCGATTCGACTGTATTAACCATAGGTTTAATGCCGTTAAACATCTAAACACACGTATAGTTGCCGACATGAGTCGTGAGCGCAGATAAACTGTGGTGGGAGGTAGGTACATTGTCGGGCAAAATTATTGGGTACCTTTATTATTTCAATTCGTAATTGAATATTTTCGCCGACTTTTATGAAAATGTTTACTCGAACACATCAACTTTTACTTTGATACGGTAATGTTGCAGATATTCGTGTCCGTTATTTTATTATCTACTATAAAGTATTTAATGTATACCTGGTGGTTAGAATTGATTATTTTATTAAGAAGAAGGAAGAGGTGATATGCCTTCCATAAAATCTGGTGTTGCGGTGCGCCGTACAGTAGCTACTGAGACATTAGTCACCTCACCAGTCTGTTTATATACGTCTATGATGTTTTTCGCAGTACCTAATTTTTTCATGTAACTAAACACTGAATAGACCATTTGTCGGGATTGTCTATTTAACACCGAATTCTTCCTTCTCTGCATATTTAGACTAAAATCTGAACACTCAAATTATAACAACAAAAATAATTATAAACAAGAAATAACAAAAACAATAACAAGGAATACACAAACAACAATTAACAACGAGATAACAAAACAATTAACGAAAATAAACTAATTAAAAAAGTTATCACTAAAATTATTGCTCTGAAGTGTACGGAAGCCGAATGATACGTTCGAAACCAATAGACGACGAGAATCGACTGATGAACCAATCACGTTGAACGTCAGCGTGTTCAAAGTCGTATCGACCAATAAAAAGTGTGCTCACGACTTATGTCAGCAATTATATATTGACTTTGGCTTACTGATGATATTAATTCTATTATTAATAGAAAAAACGATAGCTAAGTATAAAGGTAAACCGAATGCGGGAAAAGTGTATTAACATTCGCAATCACTGCGCTAAGGTGTGTAGGGATGCTCAACGTCTTCATATTCATAAGTCAGTCGACAATGGTGTCAGACAGCAAAGCTCTGGAAATTCAATAGATCATGGATGTTTGGAAATATAACTATACACCAACGACAAACGATTTAAACGTTAATCTTTTAAATAAACATTTGTCTTCTTTGTCCTGCTTAGATATCACTGCTAAACCGTAAGTTTGCACTGGCGCGATTTTCACAAAAAAACATGTTTTAAACACTGTTTTCAATCAATGTATCAAAAAGCGTTTGCATAGTCAAAGAACTTGTTGTAGTGAAATATGTTTGACAGTTTATTGTACATTACATATTTTAATTATATTATATCTTTATAATTACAGAAACAAAATGTTTGAAAACAAATTTGTAGAAATATTGTCATATTGAAAGATAAGTTTGAATATCTGTTGAGAATTTTACACAGTTTTTGTGAGTGCTAACGCCACCATCAACAAAACATGTTGTGTGATTTATTTTATTCGATTCGTTTCAAAACATTACGTGTTGGATGTTTCGCAGTACAAACGTACTGTAAGGCTGATACACCAACATATCTTTCAATTATTCCCACTCCCAAGCACTCGTCTTTTGTTTTTAAACCATTCACTGCTTGTGACGTTAAGAAAAGCGTTTTATACATTACTTCCAATGCAGTAGTAGAAAGTAACTGTCAGTCGATGATTCTTCCTATCTTTGATATTATTATTCCTATTATTTGTCATATCCTTAACTTTTCCATTTTTACAAATAGTTATTCCTATCCCAAATAAAGTAATCCTGCGAAAGACACAAGCGCATTGACATTTTTTTATAGGATAGGGGTGACCTAAACGAGCACACAGTCCACCTGATGGTAAGTAGATGCTGTGGCCCATAGACATCTACATCCGATTAAGAATCAAAATGCAGATGCGTTGTCACCCCTGAGGATTAAGATGGAATGCCTAGATCCCAGTAAAACGGGTCTCCGGTTCTCTACACTCATCATACGAAACAGCAGCATTAATCTGCTATTTTACGCTGGTTTTCTATGAGAGCGTGGTCCTTCCATGGTCGAGCCGACCCATTCATGCTACAACTATAATATAGCTGAGGCACGGCTCTACCGCGTAAAGATCATAAGGTATTTTATCTTAGTCGTCATGCGTGAAGACTAAGATAAAATACCTTAGTCTGTCTGATAGTGTGACATCCTTACACTGTTGGTTAATGACCGTAATTTATAAGACTATGTTACGTACCCAAAAGAATTCTTGAAGTAATAACGACGTGTCTAACTGTGTTGACCTTTTCAGATGATGACCTTGTCACCTACGTCGAGGTCATTCGGCATATGGCGCCAGATCCCAATCCCCATGTACTTGGAGTGTTACATGTTCAACATAACCAACGTGGACGAGATCCTGGCCGGCAAGAACGTCACACTGAAAGTCGAGCAGTTGGGACCTTACGTGTACAGAGAGAGCCATACTAAGGTAAGGCGTTCAGTTCATAATTCATCAGTGTAGTTTTCAGGTAAGTTACTGTCCTACTTTTGATTACAGGTATATAATCAAAGTGTCTTACTTTTATAAATCAAACCAAATTATAATATTTACCCCATGACTACAGATAAAATTGAATAAGATGTTAATCAAATAAAATTTTATAAAATAATGAAAACTGAAAAAAATTGTAAAAAATTACCACTTTTTTAATCATATTCTTGCATTGTTATCCGAATTTGTGCTATATTCAAAATTTCAAATTTCCAGCTCATCGTTAAGTTAGTTTAAAATCAATTAATAAATTCTACCCGCAATGTCAGACAGACGGACAAACAAGAAAGTGACAATAAAAACGGGGCAAAATATGTTATGTACAAACTTGTGCTCCATGGTCTACGTTAAAACGTGGTAAAGCCACGCTGCAGCTATATTATAGTTGCAGCTTGCAGCACGAATGGGTCGGCTTGACCAGGGTAGGACTACGCTCTCACAGAATACCAGCGTAAAATAGCAGATTAATACTGCTGTGTTTTGTATGGTGAGTGTATAGATCCGGAGCCGCTTTTATACTGGAAACGAGGCATTCGATCTTAGTCCTCAGGGGTAAGAGCGCATCTGCGTTTTGATACTTAACTGAGGATAAATGTAGATGTCTATGGGCCACAGCGTCCGCTTACCATCACGTGGACTGTGTGCTCGTTTTCACCCATATTCTATAAAAAAATAACCTATTTCAGGTATACAATATTAAGTCTTAAACATATTTATTAAATAATCCATATCTTTAACAAGTATATCTACTATATATTCCATCAATAATGTCGTCATATTTTTTTATTTGATTATTACTACAATATATTACGATTTACCTTTTTTATTATAATTTTGTTTTAATTTTCAGTAATTTGTTTGAATTATTTTATTAATAAATCTAACCACCAAATAACTTTATCTAATCTGAATTGACAATAAATTCGTGTAAAGGTGTAGAAGAATTTATATAATGACCACGTTCAGTATATCTTTTTAAATTTTATGTCGTTCATATTACAAAAGATGAAAAGAAAAAGTTATGAGATGATTTTTAAAAGATAAATGTATAGTAGTTATATATATTATATATTATAGTATTTTTGAAAAGATCATGCTGGAGTTATATTTGTAGTGCATGTACAAATTACCATGAATGGGTCGGCTCGACCGGGAAAGATCCACGCTCTCACAGTGTTTCGTGTGGTGAGTCTAGGGTTGCCAGGTCTTAAAACCGAAAAGTCGGACGGACCAGCGAGCTTAGCCGGACATTTTGGTAAAAAGGCCGGACAGCCTTATTTTTTTGTCTTAGTAAAAGACATTTTTTTAAAAGTAAAACAATGCTTTTTATCATTTACCGTAAAATCTTCTTAAGTTCTAACGAAATAACTACAATTGAATACAACATTCTTCTTTATTATTAATTATCCAATATTCATTACAATATTAATTTTTAATAATTGCAATACTATTGTTGTGCGCCTAAGTTGACGTCATGTACCCAGCACTAGTGCCATCTAGTGTCGGGGACGAGAGGCAGTTTTTATTGTCACGAACCTCAAGCTCGTAACACTATGTATGTAAGTATATGAAAACTGTAAAGATGTGGTCAAATTAAAAAAAAGGCCTAACAAAAGCCGGACACCGTCTAATTTGTCCGGACACGCAACCAAAAAGCCTGACTGTGTCCGGCTTTATCCGTACGTCTGGCAATGCTAGGTGAGTCAGTGTAGAGAACCGGAGATCCTTCTTACTGGAAACGAGGCATTATATCTTAGTCCACGTGGGTGACAATGCACCTGCATTTTGATTCTTAACTGAAGAAAATATGGATGCTTATGGGCCACAGCATCACCTTACCATCAGGTAGAATGTGTGCTCGTTTGTTATTCTTATACTATAAAAAATAAATCGCATAATCTTTTTGGCGTATATTTTATCGCAACCCGTCCAATCGATTTACTCGACTTTTTTTCAGGTCGGCATCCATTTTGTTCCATATTTCTAAAGGATGGATTATTCAATCACTAATCGTGAATTATTTTGGTTATGTTTACCAAAGCGATATTGGGAATTCTGCGCTTCGTTATATTTTGAGGATCCTATTTAATTGATAATTGTTTTTTATAATTTAAAATTAATTAATAAAGCTGACGGTAAGCTGATAGCCCGAAGGTCATTTTTTATTGCACTGATATGTTTTTGAGTTATCAAGTGACGCCCTATATGATGGTACGTATATGTATATTGCATACAATATGTACTAAAGTAGTGCACAATGTAACGATTCTGCGAGGTCAACATTTACTTGGTAGAACCACATCCACTTACCGTCAGGTGGACTGTGAGCTCGTTTGTCAGCCTTATTCTATATAAAAAAATAATTTTCGGTAGTAGAATTATATCGAAAAGTGCTCTGAGGATTTTCTCCACTCACCTTCTTCTCTCTCTCTCTCTCTCTCTCTCTCTCTGTTTTCTCCATATTATATTAATTTAATATTACTTTGCGGAAACGATGCTGGTTACATGATTACTCAAGTTATTTATAAATTTTTATTTTGTAGTTTTTTTATTGTTCTGAATACAAAATAAAATAATGTAATGACGGAATCGCTCCTGAACGTGTTTCCAGACTTCATACTTTCCGAAGCGTTGACAGACTTTGAACGCTTCCTGTGATAATATTTAAAATATACGTTTGAACTTTAATCGAAATCACAAAGAACGATGCAACTTCCTGTTTTACACAGCCTTATCTGATATATTATGCAATTGAAAATAAAATATTTGAAAGAGTTAGAGAACTTTCATGCATGTGCCTAGGATGTTATGGTTCAGTATCGCGTGATACTGATACATATTTTTTATATATCCGTGGGGGCAGTAGACCCCTGACAATCAGTGAGCGAGTGACTGTTGACTTTGATTGCTTAATGTACTAATTACCATAGGTTATTGATGTGCAAATGTATTTAAAAGATAAATGTAAATATCTAATAGATTATAGTTAAATTAGATATTTAGTTGTTTAAGTACACAGTAGTATGTCCACGTCAACTAACACTAATTGCACAATCAATTACAGGTATACAGTATACATCTTATAAAAATTACATTTAAATGAATAAATATCTAATCTATTTGTAATCTACCAGATATTTCTATTTATCTTTTTAATACATTTGCACATCGATGATAACCTTTGGTAATAAGTACATTCAATACAAAAATTAAGGATACAAAAAAATAATATTTGTAAACTGACTTTTATTTACTATGGCTTTAAACTTGACTAGACACATGAAATGTATTCATTTCATGTGGTAGAGTGCTGCACGCTGCTGGTATATGGGTGTATTACGAATGGATCAGCTCGACCGGGATCGGACCATGCTCTATATGCATATAGTGAGTGCAGAGAACCGGACACCTTTTTTACTGGAATCGAGTCATTCCATCTTAGTCCATAGGTATCTGTATTTTATTCTTGATCGAGTATAGATCTATGGGACACAGCATTCAGTTACCATCAGGGTTCTATATAAAGTAAAGTCCGCCAACACGCACTGGGGCGGCGTTGCGGACATTTATTTGTCCTTAAACTCACTCAGAAATGAGAGAAGCCCTGCCCAGGACTGGGAAGTATATAGGTTATTCCAACTTTTACTTTATGTTCATCAGAAGTCTTAAGACCTTTTTATTACATAAAACCTCTCAGAAATCAGAGGAGGCCTGTGCGTAAACGCGTATAGGCTATAACTACACTTTTTTAATGAAATAGGTCTATTTAAAACACCGACGGTTTTGGGGGCAGTATTCATTCATTTCAGTTTAGTGCCCTCGGGACGTGCTTTCGACAGAGCGAAGCAAGAGAGGGCCTGCCAGTTGCGTTCCGAACGGAGATCCCGGGATCTCTCATATACTATGATAGTGACCACCGTGGGGAAGGTATCCATTAGGATTCCCCACGGTATAAAATGTTCATAAACTGCAAACGACTGTTTACGGGTTGATCAGGAGGAGGCCTTCGCTAAACCAAATTGCAAAACCAGCCGTTTAATGTTGATTTGTAAACCGGATTGTAACCTTAACGTTTATTTCTACTAGGAGAACGTAACGTGGAACGACAACAGCACCGTGACCTACTACAACGAGCGCTGGTGGCACTTCCAGCCGGAGTTGTCCAACGGCAGCCTCAGCGATAACATCACCAGCATTAACCCCATCGTAGCGGTAAGTGTGCCAACATCCTTAAAGAATATAGAGGCTTAACGGCCGCAGAGGACTTCACCTAACGATGCCTCGCGTAGGAGGCGAAATAAGTGTTGTATCATCGACGGTGGTGTATCTTTCCTAGTTGGTTGGGAGTAGTGGTGCTGGGATTAGTGGTGACGGGGCTATCCCCGTCACCACTAATCCCAGCACCACTACACTTTCTTGCACTATTGCAAGAAAATGACGGAGGACGGGTGGTGATCTTCAAACTAGGCTAAGACACATCATTTTATTTCATTGAGTGGATATAGGCAAAGTATTTTTATTATATACCCCATATGGATGGGGTGTTCCAAAGACATATTTAGATGTTTTTGGAACACCCCATCAATTTATCATTTGAGTGCTCGTATAAAAAATAAATTTTGTGACCTGGTGCTAAAAGGGCCAAAGTACGTTTTTTTAGAAATAAGATTTTAAAGCCATATTATTAAAAAATATGAAATTTGTTTGTGCTAAAAGGACTAACGTTTATTGATAGTCTTTCAAAAGATACTATGTAAAAAGGGAAAATGTAATATTTACTTCCATACTGTTTAATAAAAACGTACTTTGGCCCTCTTAGCGCCAGGTCACAGAATTATAATGTAAAAAGCATTGGTAATGCCTAATATTTGAAAGGTCTCTGATAAAAGAATGCCATTGAAATTAATATAATTAATATCGTAAAAAGATTTAATATTATTATTAAATAACGATTATAATGATTAGATAACGTGTGCATATGTATATTGTTCGTGGAAATTTTTAACGTAAACGTAAACGAAAATTGTTGATGAAAATTGTTGCGTCTACTCTACTTATGTCACTATAATAGATATCGATATGTCACTATAATATATATATATATATATATATATATATATATATATATATATATATATATATATATATATATATATATATATATATATATATATATATATATATATATATATATATGGCCTATCGAAGTCTGCCAAAAAAAAATCAGCATAGAAACTTAATTGAAAACTAAATTGACTAGTTGTTGTTGTTACGATAATTAAGGCAGTCAAAGGTCTTATACCACACAACCTAGTTTGATGTTTTCCTAACATTTAGTGTTGCCATGTGATTAAAATCTAGGTCAAGTAATATAATATGTTTACGGAGCATTACAATATTATATTTGAGAAATATAGTTCGGAATAAATGTGGAAATAAATACAATTAAGTATGATTATGCCAAAAATGCAGTCTTTATTGTCAGAAATACATAAATGTAAATCACTGTACAATTCAGTAGTATAGCAACATTGCAACAAAAAAAAAACATTATGACATCTTATCTGTTAGCCGGCTTACTGATAACTATTATAAGAGTATCAGTAACTAGACATACATTGTATGGTTGATACCTACTTAACCGTGACCTACACATCCCTATCGTGTAATTAATCGTATATCATATACCTATATTATAACTGGCCTAAGGATAGTTTTTAGAAGAATTAATAAATATTTTTCTAAACATTTATTTACGTCGCATCTGCCACATGCGATGCGATGCCTAGGTACGTACCCAGCACTAGCTGACTTATAATTCTGAATACGTAGTTTGTCGTTTATTTTGCTGTATACTCGTAAATGCAATTCCATCAATGGTAAAGCTGGTAGAATACTCATTTTTCGATTAGGGTATGTGGTTGACTAGACATGACCTCTGGAACTTCTAATCTGGAATATTAATACATGTTCAGCAATGCATATTAAGTTTAAAAAAATATTGTTGTTCAGATGAAAACAAATCTGTTTTACTTGATATATTTTTGTTTGTTATGTATGTGCCAAATAAACCTATTACTTTCTTGTTTCTTTATTTCTATTAATCTTGGCTCTCTGGAAACTAGACATTCCATCATAGTCCTCAGGGGTGACAACGCATCTGGATTTTGATTTCAATCGAGGTTAGATATAGATGTTTATGGGCCAGAGTATCCACTTACCATCAGGTGGACCCTTATTCTATAAAAAAAATTACAATCGAAGCTGTTTCGCAGACCGTGGCGTACGTACTGCGCCACCAGCCGATATTCCTACGCGTTGCTGTGGATGTGTTCATGAGAATGAACCACGAGAACCTGTTCCTCACTGCCAACGTGTCCTCGTGGCTCTTCGACGGGATCGAGGACCCCCTGTTCGATATCGCGGCACACTTTCCCGACCTTCCCTTCCCTGTACCATTCGACAAGTTCGGTTGGTTTTACTCGGTAAGTGCTAAGTTGATAACTATATCTTTTTGTGTAAGACTTCATGACACTGTAAGCTCATTCTGCGTGGTTTGGATCAAAAATTAATAATTTTAACTACTTTCCTGTCTGGGAAAACCACACAATAGTTAAACAATAGAAACAGTAACTTTTTTATTCAATGTAGATTATAACAATACTTATTGAAAGTCACTTTTTTCATTTACCACTGGTTCGCAATAAAAACCTCTGTCCTGGGAAGAACCAGCAAGAAACCCAGCGAGACTATTTTTTTTTCAATAATAGCTTACTTGTTTACAATTAACAACACAAGACAAATTAGAAATAGCTTGGTAGCGATCACCCTTCCCAGGGCTTATTATCATCCATAAATTCCTTAATATTATAATAACCCTTTTTATACAAACTTAGTTTAATAATATTTTTGAACTTTGTGTATGACAAATTTTGTATATTTTCTAGGATTTTGTTGTAAAAGCGTATACATCGCCCCAAGAATGAATTACTGACTCGGTGGAGTCGACTAACTGGTACTACTAGCTTTTTATTTTTTGTGTACGTACATTACATTTTCATAAATGTATTGAGAGGCCGGAGTTAATATATTAATTTCCTTAAATTTTTGTCTCAGTGACTCTTTTGGTTTTAAAATGGCCCTCTTCGTCTGTTCGAAATGTTTATGTATGACTATGTAACGACAGTAAAATAGGTAAATTGAATTTAGCCGTGGTTAATTAACTATGACATTGGGACGAGAACACCCCAATTACTCACTTTAGTCGTGTCTCAAAACTTGTACGGTGTTTAATTTTTAGTTAAATTTAATTTTTAGTATTTAAAAATATACAAATTATATGATGATTTGACTACGAAAATTATGATGTCATTACACTATATTCTTCTATGTCTAGGATACTTCTGGCTTTGTAGTTCGTAGCCTTGGAAAAATTAGTAATAGTAATTTGTTTTGACAGTTCTATCATCTAGACTGTCAAGTACTCAATCGAAATTTTGACGAGCATTTCACAATTTAGAAGATCTGTAATTGCTACGTTAATATGTAAATTTCACGGATATCATTAAATAAGTTCTTTTTTTTAACTGTCACTAATAATACTATGTATTATTAGTTTATTTTTCTGTCATACTTGTTGTCATATTTAGTTTTGCTGTGCCCACTTTCGCTGTGTAGTGGCGGTTAAGAATATCCACTACCCCATATCTTCCCTTGGGTGTCGTAAAAGGCGACAGAGGGACACAAAAAGGAGATGGGCAGCAACATCTTCCTGATAACAGCAACTGTACAATAAAAAAACTGCGGTTGCCAACCCGCTCGCCAAGCGTGGCAACTATGGTAATGTACCCCCCATGAAGAATTACACAAATAGACGGCCCCCAGTCCCCGGCGGCCCTGCTATTCCTGGCTACGGTGTCGACCATGATAACGGCGGGGCAGGGGGTGCTAAGAATCTCCGGTGGAGGTTCGGTTGCCACCTACGACGAATTGACTGAGGACTGACGAGAAGATCCTGGAGCTGGAAGAAGAGATAGACAAGTTGCGCTGGAATATTATAGGATTATCCGAGGTCCGAAGGGAGGGGGAGGACACGGTGATTCTCGAATCCGGCAACTTTTTCTATCACCGGGAGGGCGACCATCTGTCCCAAGGAGGTGTTGGATTTATCGTCCACAAGTCTCTCGTCAACAACGTTTTAAAGATTGGGAGTGTATTGCTCGTCGATACACTTGTATGTTGATATGTTGTTGTTGGTTGCGTACCATATACTCAGAATCACCAGACGGTATTCGCTGAAGGTCATGCAGGTTTACGCGCCAACGTCCGAACATCCCGATGAGGAGGTAGAGGAAAAGTATGAGGATATTTCTAGAGCCATGCATTCCTCCAAAACTCACTATACGGTGTTAATGGGAGACTTCAACGCAAAACTGGGCACAAGAAAGAACGGTGAGCTGAAGGTAGGGAAATTTAGGATAGGGCAACGGAACCCTAGGGGCCAGCAGCTGGCCGACTTCATGGAGAAAGAGGGACTTTTTATGATGAACTCTTACTTCCAGAACAGGTCCACTGCCTGTGGGGCCGCCACAGGAAGTGGACCTGTTCGAGCCCCGACGGTTCGACAAAAAATGAGATTGACTTCATTATGACGACCAGACGCCAACTGTTCAGTGATGTCTCAGTGATCGCAAGGGTGAAAACTGGCAGCGATCACCGAATGGTTGAAAGCACATTGAACCTAAATATTAAGTTGTAGAGGTCTCGTCTAATGAAGTCAACGCTCCGTCCCTCTCGTGCTTTAATCCAGAATCCCGAAACCTTTCATCTCTAGTTACGTAACCGCTTTCAGTGCCTAGAAGATTGCAATGCAGTGGACGATATGAATGACAAGCTCGTGGAAACTGTCCATGTGGTCGGAGCTAAGTTCTTCCCGCCGCAGAAGAACACAAAAACTCTCCGATCACTATCTTAATCTCATGGCAGTTAGACCGGACATGAGGCTGCAATCGTCAACAGATTTGACAGCATACAGGCAACTGAAAGACAGATCTCCAAATGCATGTGGCGAGACTTTTATACTGCTCGTATTGAAGAAGTGATCGAGCGGAACCAGGGCTCCAAAGTCTTTGCCAGAGATCTGTCTGCCAGAAAGAGCTAACTGTCAAAGCTGAAAACTGAGTGTGGCAGCATCGTTTCCGGAACACCTGAGATTTTGAGAGAGTCCACTGCTGAACATAGGCCTCCCCCAAGTAATGCCACAAAACACGGTCCTGAGCCACCTGCATCTATCTACTTTCTGCATGTCTTACCAGGTCGTCACTCCATCTAGTGGGGGGTCGCCCTACACTACGCCTACCGGTGCGAGGCTGCCACTCGAGAACCTTTCTTCCCCATCGGTTATCGGTTCTTCGAGCTATATGGCCGGCCTGTTGGCACTTCATGTTACTATTCCGTTGAGCTATGTCGATCACTCTGGTTTTACTACGGATATCCTCATTTCTGAGTCTATCACGCAGAGAAACTCCGAGCATAGCCCTCTCCATAGCTCTCTGAGCGACCTTGAGCGTCCTGATACGGCCAGCAGGGAAGAACCACGTCAGATCCGTAAGTCATCACTGGCAACACGCACTGGTTGTTCAATCTAGTTTTCAGAGTTTGAGGTATACTTGACGAGAAGATTTGTCGTAATTTCCCGAACGCTGCCCAGTCGATTTGAATCCGTCGATTGACCTCTCGGTCGAAGTTGAACTTACCTAGTCGGACTATTTGTCTCAAGTAAACGTACTCGTCAACAACTTCGAGCATAGTACTCCCAACAACTATTGGCATAGGTGTGACATGGACATTAAACATGATCTTTGTTTTGTCCATGTTTATCTTAAGACCTATCCTTTGGGAGACACCATTGAGGTCATTGAGCATAGTGCTTAGGTCCTCCAGCGATTCTGCCATAAGGACTATATCGTCGGCAAATCGAAGGTGAGTGATGTACTCGCCATTGATGTTAATACCGTATCCTTTCCAGTCCAGTTGCTTGAAAACGTCTTCCAAAGCAGCGGTGAATAGTTTCGGGGATGTAACGTCACCATGTCTTACACCTGTCTGCAGTTTTATAGGTTTCGAGCTCTGGTTCTGTACTCTGATAGCCATCGTAGCCCTACTGTACAAACACCTCAGCACTTCGATATACCGACAGTCAACTTGACACCGCTGAAGGGACTGTAGCACTGCCCAAGTTTTGACGGAATCAAAAGTTTTCTCATAGTCCACACACGGCAGGCAAAGTGGCAGATTGTACTCTTCGGTCTTCTGTCCAATCTGCCGCAGGGTATGTATGTGCTCTATGGTACTGAAGCTTTTTCGGAAACCGGCTTGTTCGGGGGCTGGTAGTCGTCGAGTCTGCGTGCGAGACGATTCGTAATGACTCTCGAAAACAGCACGTAGACGCGGCTTAGAAGGGAAATCGGTCTGTAGTTCTTCAAGAGAGCGTTGTCGCCATTCTTAAAGAACAAGACCACCGCGCTTCTCCACGCCTCCGGCGTAGTGCCACCATGGAGGACGGAATTGAAGAGCTTCTGAAGGACTTCAAGTACCGGTGTTCCGCCCGCTTTCAGAAGCTCCGCTGTAATTCCATTCTCGCCTGCGGCATTGCTGTTTTTAAGGTGCTGGAGAGCCATTCTAATCTCGCTCAGACTGACGTCCGGGATATCATCTTAATAGTGTCGGATAAGACTTGCTCTTGGATCGTCACACTTGCGTGTGGCTCAAACGATGATGTGTACGGCTGCCCATAGAACCTCTCAATCTCACTGAAAACCTCAGGTGTCTCGGAAACGATGCTGTCATACTCAGATTTCACTGACTGACTTGCTTTGACATTTGGCTCTTTCCAGCAGACAGATTTCTGGCAAAGACTGGAGTCCTGGTTCCGCTCAATCGCTTCTTCAATACGAACTGTATTGAAGTTACGTAAGTCCTGCCGCATGCATTGGGAGATCTGTCTTTCAGCTGCCTTTATGCTGTCAAATCTGCTGACGACTACAGCTTCATCTCCTGTCTAACACCCATGAGATTTAGAGTGTAATCGGAGAGTTTTTGGTTGTCATGATGAAGTCAATCTCATTTTTTGTCTAACTATCGGGGCTCGACCAATTCCACTTCCTGTGGGGCCGCTTCTGGAAGAAAGCGTTCATCATAAAGAGTTCCTCTTTCTCCATAAAGTCGGCAAGCTGCTGGCCCCTTGAGTTCCATTGCCCTATTCCAAATTTCTCCACCTTCAACTCACCGCTTTGTCTTGTGCCTAGTTTTGCTTTGAAGTCTCCCATAGCTCTAGAGATATCCTCATACATTTTCTCCACCTTCTCATCGGGATGTGCCGAGGTTGGTGCGTAAACCTGTGTGACATTCAGCGAATACCATTTGGTGATTCTGATTATCATGCACGCGACCCTCATCGACACACTCTTAATCTTTACAACGTTGT